GCCCCTCAAGGCTCAGACTCACACAGCACCCAAACAGTGCCCTTTCCAATGGCACATGCTTCTTCGATCCAGAAGAGGTACACTGGAAAAGGAGGGCAAGGAACTCAGAGCCGATCACAAGAAAGGACTTCCTGATGAGAGGGATTGCCACGTCATCAAGAGACTGTGTGAAAGGTCTTTCACCTGTGGCTTGTTAAGGCCAACAGGTGATCTCAGACAGCTGCACTTAGGGAGCTGATGAGAGCGTCCGGTTGTTCAGAGGATGGGGCCAAATTACATCAGGAATCTCTTCCGTTCCTATCAGAGCTGACCTCTTCCCGCTTAAATCATGGCTTTGTAGCATCCCTAGGACAGAATCCAAACTCCTCCGTTGGGCTTTCATAACCTAACTCCTTATCTGTGACATCCCCATCCACTCTCTCCTTTGGATATTCCATCCACGCCCCTTTGCTCTCCTTGCTCTTCGACACACCAACCTGTTCTGATTTCACAGCCTTTATTCTAATACTCCTTTTGTCTGGAGCAGTCTTTACCCGGCCCTCGCCATGTTGCTGCCAAGTCAACGACAACTCACAGCAACCACATGAAAAATGGGTATGGACCTCGCGCTATCCTGTGCCATCCTCATCATCTTTGAGCTTGTTGTTACAGTCACTGTGTTAGTCAGTCTCACTGGGAGATCAATCTTCTGTCTTTTACAGACCCTCTCTGTGAATCCACCTAACGCTTCTTTCCCCAGGAACAGTTTTCTAAGACTGTAGCCCACTTCCCTGTCTTGAAGGAAGCACCTGTAAGCATCATCTTCCCCGAGTCCCTTATAAAAAAGTATAAAATCCATCCTCTTAACTCCTAGTGAAGGCTGGTCTTCTGCTTGAGAGCCAGCCCGGCAGTTTCTCCTCAATAAACTATCTTTCTTGGCCTGCACTGGGTTCTGTCCTTCCTTGGTGACCTTACATCCTTCATGGTTCAACATTCCCCCAAATGATAGACTGTCCTGTAAGGTAAACAGTAACACCAAGGAGGTTCCTTGGAACAATCAATCAAAAGAGATCAAGAGGGCAACACTTGCCTGGAGATCAAGTTCAGAAAGTGAGAAGGGATAGGAAGGTGCATACATGAGAGCAGTTCACTTAGAGAGGAAGTTCAAAGAGTGCCGCTCCATTGCAGAGAATGCAATCAATGCCCAAAACAAAATATATGTTTTGGATGTGAAACCAATTTGCTCCATAAACTTTCAGTCCTATCACAATACAAAGTTTAAATAATTTTTTAAAAGGCCATGTTGTGCTACCAAACACATGAAAATATATTCAATGTCATTAGGCATCAAGGAGATGGCAATTCAAGGTCACCACGAGATACCATTTCAGTCCCACTGCCAGGGCGAAGATAAAAAAAAAGACAGGAAATAACAAACGTCAACAAAGATGGGGCAATCATTGTTGGTGGGAATGCAAAAGGAAACAGCCATTGTGGAAAACAGTGTGGCATCTCCTCAAAAAGTGAAAAATACAACTACACTGCTATAAAGACCTGATTCCAACTCACAGTGGCCCCATGCGGCAGAGGAGCACTGCCCCACAAGATTTCCAAGCCTGTAAATCGTCTGTCTCTGGGGGAGCAGCTAGTGGGGCTGAATCAACAGCCTTTTGATTAGCAAACCAACCCTTCACCCACCGTACAACCAGGGCTCCTAGGTCTACATTCAAAAGACTGGCAGGCAGAGACTCAGAGACTTGTACACCTCTGTTCATTGCAGCACTGTTCCCAACAGTCAAATGGCAGAAGCAAATGAAACACTCATCTACATCCGAATAGATAAAATGTGATACAAACAGACCATGGAATCCTACTGAGTCAACAGGAGAAATGAAGACTTGAAATAAGCAACAGTACATGAATGGAGCTGGAAGACATTGTGTCTGGCCTCACTTATATAAAGGTTCTCTTACTGCCATCACGTCAGAATCCACTCATAGCTGACCCTCCAATAGTTTCTCAGAGGCTGTAAATTGAGTGAGAGGAGATTGCCCACCTTTGGCCCTCAGAGCTGCTGGTAGGTTTGAACTGCCGGAGAGATGCTGCTTTGGGGTTAATATCACAACTCCCTACAAACTGCACCACCAGAGCTCTCTTACACAGAGGCAAGAAAAGGCAAATCTATTCAGAACAAGGTTTATTAATAGTTACCAAGGCCAGGAAAGAAGAGAGAAGGAGGGCAAAGACGCTGGCAATATCCTGTCGATTACGGTTGTCCAGTTATTCTTTCCAATCACTGCAAACGATGTCAGTAAGTTCCATACCTGTTAAAAGGAGAATTGGCGGAAGTTGTACAGCAAACATGTTTACAACAACGATCAAAAAACAAAACATGAAACGGCTTAGGTTGCTTAAGTATAACCAAACACTTAATGGGATTTGATTGCTTGGTTTTGTGGTTTAGGGTCATGGTTTTATGGGATATACCGCTTAATTTGCCTCATAATGTGTTTAATGCTTCTATTCTATCTCCTGGTTTGTTTTTTGGTTTGGGGGGGGGGGTCTTAAAAGCTTGCGAGCAGCCATCCAAGGAACAATAATGGACCCTATTTGCCTGGAGCAACAGTGGAAGAAGGAGAGTCGTGAATAAGAGGAAGAAATGGTTGAATGGTTCACCACCTCCATGAATAATTGCCTCCTTTGCCATGAAACCAGAACAACTGGATAGTGCCTAGTTATCATTACTGGACATTTTGATAAAAGAGCCTATAGAAATATTCTGATCAAAAGGGGAGACTAATGCAGAACAGAATATGTCCTTATTGTGGTTGTTCTGAGGCTGGATAACCTCTGAAACGATTTCTTTATCATCTTTAAACTTTAAAACAAAAATATCCTCTGAAATCTTCTTAAAACCAAACAGCAGTCTGTCTATTAAAAATGTCTGCCTTGAGCATTATGCTTTTTTAAGATCTGTCAGTATGGGATCAAATTGGCAAGAGCAACACATGGGATTAGAAGGGAACCTTACAGTGCAGGAACTGATGTTAACACGGGAGGGACAAAAGAGAAAAAGAGGATGAGAATAATAGTAAGGTCCTAAAATTGAACACAAAGAAACTCTCGAATTGGTATATGTTTTTCTTCTGTGGTATTCTCAATAACAGGGAGCTCTAGTGGCCTGGTGGTAAGAAGCTGCACTGCGATCCCAAAGACAAGCCGTTCGAATCCAGCAGCTGCTCTGCAGGAGAAAGACAGTCAGTCTCCTCTCATCCAATTTACTGCCTCTGGAAACCCGCTGGAGAGTGTGCTATGAATCAGCTCTGACTCAACGGTACGCAACAACAACAGCAACAACAACGTTCTCAGTAACCGCAGCTCATTGCTGGAATTACTAACAGTTGGGAGGCCTGCAGTTTTGCTGTGAGGAATCTCAAGACACAGTCCTTCCAAGTGGGAGATGTTAACCTTCTGAGACTTCAGTTTCTGTGTTTTTAATACCCTCTAAGGGAGCTCTGGGTGCACTGCCGACCCAAAGGCAGGTGGTTCGATTCTAGCAGCTGCTGTACAGCAGAAAGACAAGGCATAGCGTTTACAACATCTGAAAACCCGCTGGAAGGTCAGGCATGAGTTGATTCCAACTCAACAACACATGTTAACCCAAAGGCAGAGCCTTTCCAGCAGTTCAAATCCACCGGTGATTCCCAGGGAGAAAGGTGAGCAATTCCCATGCAATTCCCAGCCTCAGAAACCCAAGGAAGGATCAACTATGAGCCAGTTCTGCCTCAAAGGCCATGAGTGTGTGAGTGAAAGTCTCTAAGACGAGGATGATATGATTCTGAGATTTCAGGTTCTGCTTCATGGACCCCATAATTCTGTGAGTTTAACATTATAGGATATATTTATTAGCACAAGTGCAGCAATCTGTCCCTGCCAGGCACAATGCTGACATCTGGGGATGCAGTAGAGAAAAGACAAACCCTGGTCCTGACCTTCTGTGCCTCATAAGTGAGGGGAGACTGGTCAGTACAGAAACACGGTCAGCACAGGGGCCAGAGGAGCACACTTACTGGAAGGGACAGTACAGAAAAAGCGTTCCACCTTCCTATGAAGATGGCACAGAAAGCCAAGAAGGATGCCCCTAAAAGGCATCCAAAGAAATCTGGATGTCACCCACCTCCGGTCACCCACCTTCTGGTGGCCTGAGACACTGAGACTCCAAAGGCAGCCCAAATATAAAAGGCAACCTGGAAGAGCACTCCCAGGAGAAACAAGCTTGACCACTATGCCATCATCAAGTTTCCCCTGATGACTGAGTCAGCCATGAAGAAGACAGAAGGTAACAACACTCTTGTGTTCATTGTGAATGTCAAGGCCAACAAGCACCAAAGCGAAAAAGCTGTAAAGAAAGTCAACACTTTGATTAGGCCTGATGGAGAGAAGGCCTATGTCTGACTTGCTCCTGACTATGATGCTTTGGATGTTTGCCAACAGAATTGGGTTCATCTAAACTAAGTCCAGAGGGCTAATTCTAAATACAAATTTTTCTTGCCCAAAAAAAAAAATAAGAAAGAAAGAAAAAGAAAAGTGTCCCAGAAGAGGAAGCAACATCTGAACTAAGTCAGGAAGGAAAAGTGCCCTAACCTGAGGAGGGGGCGCTGGTGTAGCCCATGTTTCAAGCAGAGAGAACAGAAGGTGCAAAGGTCCAAGGGTGGGAGTGAGTGCATCGAGTACATGGAGGAGACTAAGCAGCTCCGTGTGAACCAGGGCAGAGCGGGACAGGTGGAGCAGGGTAGCAAGAGGCGAGGATGTGATCAGATGACGGGGCGCCTACTACACCATGTCGTGGAGTTTGAACTTTATCCCAGGGGCAAAAGGGAGCCGGTGAAGGGTTTTAAGAGGAGGAGAACCGCCGTCTGCTCCGTGTTTTGAAAAGCCTCTGGCTGCTGTGTGGAGGGGGGTTTGGAAAGAAGAGAGAGCAGAGCAGAGGTTTGGAGTCGACTCCAGGTGAGAGACGAGGCTCAGGTGACAGGGCGAGTCTCCACGGTCAGTGTGACGGTGTGACCATGTGACGGTGTGACGGTGTGATGGTGTGAGGGGCGCTAGGGGTGGACAAGGTTGCCGACCTGCGAGCGAGCCCAGGACTCCTGCATCCAATGTCCCTTCTTTCTTTAACACAAAGGCCCTTTGAGATCACTGTCTAGTTATAGCCCTTGACATTGCCCTTCACTCTCCCTTCAGAGCCTCAGTTTTCCATTTCACAAACTGAGGATTATCAGTGCTTTCCCATTTGCAAAGTGGGGCCAATCCAGGCCCTGCTTGCAGGCCAGCCATGTGGGTGAGAGCGTGGAATCCCCACCTGCACAAACAGGTGGCTGCAGCAGGTGTGGGCTCAAGGCACTCAACACACGGCCAGTTCAGCAAAGACCTTGGTCTTGAAAGAAGAATGGTCACAGTGAAGCAAATAGAAGGGTGAGAATGGGCCCTGGTCATGCCTGGCCCTGGGACGGAGGCTGTGCTGGTGTCTGAGTCTGGGCTTGACACTTGAGCTTGTTTGCTTCTGGTCAGAGAGGAGTATGAGTCAAGAGTTACCTGTGATACTGCCCTGTCCAAACCTCTGACGTTCACCTTTCAGATAACATTACCATCATATCAGCTCAAAACTGCAAAGTCTAGCTTGGGAATCGTTTACTTAATGCAGCATGGCACTATGTGAAAATTACAACCTCATGTTCTGTATTTTTCACTGATGAAAGTTGTCAATGATGTAACATTTCCCCTCCAGCGCCCCCCTCCCCAGGATTTTCTCATTCTACACCCAGCAGAACAGTTTCCGATTTTTTGGCAGTAGCAGAACCAGAACCCACTGAGCAAGAGTCTGATGCCAGGAGGCCTGGGACACCTTAGTGCAGCCTGAGTCTGTGGAGAGCAGCACACATGCGCATGCGCACGCAGCCCACCACCCAGCCCACCTGGCTGTCATCCCCAGCACCTTAAAGAGCAGGAAGTTTTAGGAATCTAATTTAGCAGGATTTTGAGACTCTGTCTCACATACTTTGGGTATGTAGCCAAGAGAGGCCAGTCTTTGGAGAAGGATATCATGCTTGGAAGGGTGGAGGGACAGCACAGGAGAGGAAGACCCCAGATGATTGACATAGTAACTGATAATGAAGGTAGGTGTGTCGGAGACAGTGAGACTGGCTCAGGGTAGAGCGGGGTTCAGCACTATTGGGCATAGGGTTGCTATGAGTAAGTAGATGGCACATAACAACAACAATTTAGAGGGGTGGAGCAGAGCGGGGAGCAGAGAGGAGGGGATCCACCAGGAGGCCCTGGAACCAAGGTCACCCCAAAAGCAGAGCAGGAAGAATGAATGACAGGAGCCTGCAAGGGTGTGGGGAATGAGAAGCAGCATGCGTTTGGACCGAGCTCCCTGGGGCTGATTCTCCAGATCTCTTTGGCTCACTTGAGAAAATCACATTTAAGGAAGGCCCCCACAGACTGGGCTAGATAGAAAGAAGTAAGCTCTGTGGGCCCCTTCTCTGATCCTGCCCCTTAATTCCCAGATAGCTCTTAGGAGATAAGACTTCTAACAGATAAGCCACCTGGATCCCAGTCGGCCTTGACCCATGCAGGCGCTCAAATACAAAAGTATTAGTTATGACTTGCTGAAATGACCTCTCACAGCTGGTGGTGGAAACTGCCCTCGTTAATAGAAACTACTCAATGGCCACTTTCAGGCGGGGCCCTTGGCCTGCCTCAAATGTGGCTCTGTCCAGACATAGGCACACTTAGGAGTTGGTGTTAAAATTCTCCCTACCTGCAGCCAGCTGGCCCTCCCAGAGGCCTCCTCCCCCCAACTCTTGGTCTTACACTCTCCCAGGGGCGGCAGAACCCTGCTGGGAGTCGTCTAGCAGGAACAAGATTTCCTGGGGAGATTGGAGCCAGCCAAGCCCTGCCCAGTTGTTTGGCTCCAACCTGCTTTCAATCCAACCCACCCTCTAGGGTGAAGGCCCTACTATACAGGTGACTTGTGAGCTCAGACAAAAGTGGGTCTCTGACACAGAGACCACACTGTCTCGTCAAGACGTGGACATGGCCCCCAAAACCATACCCACGTCCTCATATGCACTCCTGAGATATATATAGTTTGTTTTTTGCCAGTGGTTCAACTTCAACTCGGTTCAATCATAGCTCATCAGTCAGGTAACATAACTGTGACTGCCCCATGGAGATGACAGAACACTGAGGGTCCCTCTCTCTGCTTCCAGGAGGAAATGGGGAAGCCAAAGCTGGTCTGCCTAGAGCCACCCAGTGAGGCCTGAGCTCTCAGCCCACTTCCTTGTCTACAAGCAGTAACTCTGCCAACATCAGAGGAATTAAGTTCAAATAGGAAGTTTTAGTGGCACAGAACATGTGTATTTCTATCATTTCCATCCAGGTCCATTGAATCCAAATCTTCAGGATTCCCAATTGATTTCTCCTGGCTCTTACAGTCTTATGTACATATCACCTGAGCATTTATGATATAGGTTCTGACTTACTATATCCTGGGTGGAAATGCAAATTTTCAGAGAAGGACAAATCAGAATGAAGGGTTGGAGACTCAAGATAAAAGTCACTGGAGAGAAAGATGACCTTGGGGAGGACAGCTGAGGGGCTGTGTCAGAGATAGGTTGAAGATCTAGATCTTTTTTTTTTTCTTTTTACACTCCCTCCCCAAATACTGAGACCAGAAACTGATGATTTGGATATCCCAAAGCATGCAACAGAGACAAGTCAAAAAGAATCAATGTTAGACATCTTCATTTAAAGACTATACAAAGCAAGCTAGTTGTCACCAAAAGAAGACCTAGATTTCATGTGATGCCCTTTTGTACTTTTTGAGTGTTCCTCCATCCCTCCCCCCTCAGCAAATGCACATTCCAGCAAGTGCCAATCAATCAAACAAATAATCACAATGCAATAAACAATGACATGAGCCAGGCCCTTTTGTAACTTCCTGCCTTTGCCCGTTGTCCCTTCTCGTTGAAACATCTTTCCTATTTTGGTATTTTGTTTTTCCTTTCTTCCTCCTAGAAAAACATGCATCTTTCAAGAGCGTACTCAAATGTCCTGCCTTCTGGGGTCTGTTTAGACTTTGTATGATGGTAATTCTTGACTTTTCTACTGTCACCACTATAGCCACAAGCATACTGTCACCTGCCCTCTTAGGGTCCCAGAGGGCTCTATGGATCACACTTGAGCACTTATGATTTTGACTTGTGGTTGGATTGGTCCAAAGGAAGGAATCAGTGGAGATTAAAGGGCAGGATGAGGGAGAAGCGGGGTGTTTATACCACCAAGACCCTTGCTATCAGGCCTTGATTTTAGCAAGGGCTGCATTTATCCATGAGCTCTCAGGGTGGCACTAACAGTTTGTACTCGCCACTAACTGAAAGGTTGGTGAGTTAAAAATTGCATGTCAGCTCTGATAACAAGTGTTGAAGAATAAAGACCTGGCAATTTACTTTCAAAAAAATGAGCTGCTGAAAGGGAGCACAGATATGCTTGAGTACATTTCGGGTTGTCTTGAGTCAGACACAATTTGACAGCAGGCTTTACATTTCCTCAAGAACTCAGCTTCTGTCTCACACCCACTTTGATGGCTACTAATGGCACCCCCACATATGCACAGTAGAACTGCTCTGTAGGGTGCCCCAAAGCTCCAGCTTTCTAGAAGCAGAATGCCTTATATCTTGATATCATTCTTTCCCTGGGTTTAGGAGGTTCTCAGCACAGGGACCACCAGGTGCAAAGAACAAGCTTTTTCCTCCACCTTCTCCTTCCTCAGCGGTAAGAGGTCCCTCCTCCCTGCTTACTTCTCTCTTCTTTCATCTCTTAGAAGATAAAAGGTAATGCAGCCCACATGCCAGGGAAACCTCCTTTACATGTGATTGGAACTGTGACTTGAGAAGGGTGTGACATCCCATCCTAACCCTTCACAGATGATTGGTTCATACCATCAGATCACATTATGGAGTGATTACCTCATCATATTACTGCCAAATTCTGTCATTCTATTGCTAAACCACTAACAATCACAATCTTACTGAGGCTGACGAAAAGGGGAGTTCAATCCCTGACAATTATGAATGAATGACACAGCTGGTTACCACTGGGTTTGTTGTGACTCACAGTGATCCTGTGTGTGCCAGAGGACATCTGTGCCCTAGGATTTTCAATGGCCAATTCCTTGGATTATCAGGCCTTTTTTCTGAGGCACTTGTACGTGGAGTCAAACCACTAACTTCTTGGCTAAGAGCTGAATTTTTGCTACTGCTCGTACCCAGTAAAGACAGAAACAGGTTTTACAAGACTAAGCGTGGTCACTCTTTGCTTTCCACTCCTCATCTCTATTTGCTCAATTATTCTTATGCAATTCCTGCAGGATGTCCTCGTAAATACTAGTTCTAGAATTCAGTAACTTTTTTTTTGTTTTTGCTTGTTTGTAAACATGGTGATTTTATTAATGTTGGATGTTTTTTGTTTCGATTTTTTTTTTTTACATCCAACTCTCTTTTCTGGGAGGGGTGGGGTAGAGGTCACCCCCCTCAGGGCCCAGCGTGCTCATCGTCGCTGCTTCCTGCATTTTCTTCTTGCATCTCCTCCTCCTCCTCCCCCTCCTCCTCTTCTTCTTCCTCGTCCTCCTCCTCCTCCCCCTCCTCCTCTTCTTCTTCCTCGTCCTCCTCCTCCTCTTCCCCCTCCTCCTCCTCCTCCTCCTCCTCCTCCTCTTCCCCCTCCTCCTTCTCCTCCTTCTCCGGCTCCTCTGCCTCCCCCGCCTGCTCCGCCCCCTCCGCCTCCTCCGGGTTGGAGTAGGGTTCCATGTGGAGGTCCTCAAAGGTGCCATCCACCCACAAGGCTAGCCCCACCGTGGCCCGGTCCCAGAGACTCGCCGTCTTGCCGGTGAAGCCGCACTCGAGGAGCGTCATGTTGTCTTCGTCCAGGAGCTGGTCGTCCTTGTAGAGGCACTGTTCCTCAGGCAGACGCTGAAGGATGCCCTCGATCATAAGCTTCAGCTCCAGGACGGTGCTCGACTCCTTGGAGTCGATGAACACGGTGGTCTTGTGGCGGTGAACCATCAGAAACACGTCCATGATAGCGGCTGCCTCTAACAGTCAATGCACCTGCGTGCCCCGATGCAACTGCGCACCCTGATGCGACTCTTATATGACAGCGTGCTCTCAGTCTTCCCGCGTGTCAGATCGAATTCAGTAACTTTTGTACAGAGAAATTCCTAAAACCCAATTCTGACTTACAGCAACCCTCCGTTAGGATTCCTTAAAGAGAGCAGACAGTCCATCTTTCTTCCATGGAACATCTAGAGGCTAATAGGTACACAAACATCATGATAATGGAGAAGAGATTGAAATTGTCAACTGTCTCATCTTTCTTGGATCCACAATCAACCTTGGTGCCAGCAGTTAAGAAATCAAAAAATGAGGCACATTGGGAAAATTTGCTATCAGGGATCTCTCCTGAGCAATAATGTTCATTTAAAGACTAAAGTGCACCTGATCCAAGCCATGGTCTTCTGAATTGCTTGCTATGCATCTGAAAGCTGGACAATGACTAAGGATAAGAGAAGAAATCAATGTCTTTGAGTTGTGATCTTGGAAAAAGATTACTAATTATCCCATGGATTTCCAAGAGAATAAATAGATCTATCCCTGTTCAAGAAAGTAAACAAACAGGGTGGCCCGTGGAGACAAGAATGGTGAAACTCCATCTCATATACTTCGGGTATATGGTAAAGAGAGGCCTCTTTCTGGAGAAGGACATTGGGCTTGGAAAGGTGGAGGGTCAACAAAAGAAAGGAAGACCCTTCGGGAAGTGAAGTGACACAGTGACTGTAACAATGGGCTCAAGTGTGTCGGAGACAGTGAGGATGGCACAGGGTATGACAAGATTCAGATCCATTGTTCTTAGACTCCCTGTAAATCAGTCAACTCGATGACATCTAACACCAAATCATCTGCATCACACAGGTTATTAACAAGTCTTCCTCCAATCCTGATGCTGCGTTCTTCCTCAGCGTCCACCTTCTTGAATAATTTGCTCAGCATACAGATTGGATAGGTATTGAGAAAGGATATAACCTTGACACATGCCTTTCTTAATTTTAAACTATAAAGTGTTCCCTTGCTCCATTCACACAACAGCATCTTGGTCTAGGTATAAGCCTCGCATGAGTATAATTAAGAGTTATAGAATTCCCATTCTTTTCAATGTTAGCCATAACTTGTCATGCCTTTGTATGGTCAATGAAGCACAAATAGACATTCTTCTGGTATTCCATCTGATATCAGCAATGACATCCCTGGTGCCACAGCTTGAATTCTGCTTGAATTTTGGGCAGTTCCTTACCTCTGTACTGTTCTGTTTTTTTAAGATCTTCAGCAGTATTTTGCTTGCATGTGATATTAATTGTATTTTTTTTTTAATTTTGTGTACGTGTACCGTCAAATCAGATCTGACTGGTACAGGAGGATATTGCGCCTCCTTCTCCGGCAGAGCGTCTGGTAATTGTATTTTCTAATTTTCACATTCTATTGAGTAACCTTTCTTGGGAATTGTGACAAATAATGGATCTTTCCCAGTCAATTGGCCAGATAGCTGTCCTCCAAATTTCCTACCATAAACTGGTGAGCACATCCAGAGCTGCATCTGTTAGTTGAAACATGCCAATTGGTATCCCATAAATTCCTGGAGCCTTATTTTTTTTGCTAATGTCTTTAGTGTAGCTTAAGTTTCACATTTCATTATCATTGGCTCTCATTCATGTGGTGCTTCCTGAAATTTTTCAGTGTCAAATTCCTTTTAGTATAGAAATTCTGTGCATTCCTTCCATCTTCTTTTGATGCTTCGTGTTATCATTCAAGACTGTACCCATAGCACCTCTCAGTATTGCAACCCAAGGCTCAAATCTGTTTTTCAGTTTTTTCAGCTTGAGAAACGCCAAGCAAATTCTTCTCTTTTTATTCTCTCCCTCAGGCTCTCCGCACATTTCTGTTTTGTTTTGCTTTTTTGTTTTGTTTTTTTAATGGTCTCTGGAATCTTCTCTTCAGTTCTTTTACTTCGTCATGAAAGAAGTTCTTCATTCAAAACTCTTCGCTGCCAAGTCAGAACCAACTCATAGGAGACCCTCCTGCGGGTGTTCTGAGGCTGTAAATCACATACATAGGAGGAGATTGCCCATTTTTCTTCTGTGGAGCCACCAGAAAAGTGTCGCCTTTGGGTTAGCAACACAACACCCCACAACTATGTCCTCAGAGCTCCCAAACAGAAGTTCAGTGGGCCCCCCCCCCACTCTTGGTAACCACTGATACACTCTGAACTATCTATACTTGCCTAGTCGAGATATTTGGGAGAAGTGCCTTTGACTCTGTAACACTGTACCTTGCTTGGATTTTGTACCATGTGCAAATCCATGTAAGCCACTAATTAAAACAAATGAGTCTCTGTGAAGCGCCTGGGAAGCAACCTTCCTCAGCTACATACTCTTCACTGTTATTTGACAAATGCTGAGTCCTTCATCCAGTGTGAACAGAAGTGATGAAGTCACAGTAGGGTGAAGAGCTGAAGGCACGGCTGTATTGAGATGGGGTGCCAGCTGAGATGGGAAGGGGACTTCTTTCAGTTCTGTCTGAGGCCAGGTACTTTCCAGACTTCTTTTATTGATTAATGACTGCATCATAATCATGTTATATATGCATATGTCTATGGGCTCAACAGAGGGGATGCTGGTGGTATAGTGGGTAAGGAGCTACTCTGCTAACTCAAAAGTTGTCATTGAGTAACATTGAGTCAGAACTGAACCATAGCTTCCCCTCAAGTGGGTTTTCAGAGACTAAATTGCACAGGAGGAGATTGCCATCTTTCTCCAGCAGTCCAGCTTGTGGACTTGAACCATGTGCCTTCAGGATTGCAGCACAGCTTCTTGTCACTAGACCATCAGAGCTCCCAAAGGTAAGTTGTTCAAATCCACCTACAGGAGCAGGATAGGTAATTGCCTTCTGTGTCATTTACAGCCTCTGAAAATCCACTGGAGGCTCAGCTGCAAGTCTCTGACTTGAAAGCAAAGAGTTGGTTTTGACTTGATGTCAGTGTTAGAAGCCCTGGTGGTGAAGTATGTTACATGTTAAGCTACTAATAAAAAGTTCAGCGGTTCGAATCCACCATGAGAGAAAAATGAGGCAGTCTCCTCCCATAAAGACTTACAGCCTTGGGAACCATGAGGATCACCATGAGTTAGAATCGGCTGGCTACTGGACTTGATTCTGGTTTGGTATCTTACTGGGGGAATGGTTGTGAGATTCTCTCAAAGGATATTGTGCTTTCTTTTTTTCATTAATTTTAATGAAAGTTTACAGAGACTTTAGATTTCCATTCATTCATTGTTGCACTATTTGCACTTTTCTCCCTGTCCAACCTCTCCCCCCGTTTGCTCTTCTCTTTGCAAAGTAAAAGAAAAATTCTTTCATTGTTATACAATCCCTTCCCCCAAGTCCACTCCACTATGCAGCCTTCATTTTAAAAAGTAAAATTCTAGGGGAGCTCTGGTGGCCTAGTGGCAAGAAGCTGCACTGCAATCCCAGAGATAAGCGGTTTGAAACCACCAGATGCTCTGCCGGAGAAGGAGGGGCCACCTCCTCCTGTACCAGTCAGATCCAATTTGACAGTACACATACACACAGAGAAAATAATAAACTTTTTTAAAAAGTAAAATTCTTTCATTGTTTACAACCCCTCCCCCTAAGTCCACTCCACTATGCAGCCTTCTTTTTGGACTCCTGTCATGACAATAATACCTAATCATATATTCCTTTTAAACAGTTTTCTCCCTCATCTATTTCAATGCAGCATACATAATTCATCCCATCTTTTTCAGTATCCCCCCATGCCCAATGTCAGTCTTATTTTGCAACAGTGGCACTATGCAATATTTGTCCTTTTGTGACTGAGATATTTCACTCAGCATAATGTCTCCCAGGGTCACCCATTTTGCATATTTCATGAGTTCCTGGTTTTTCAATGCAGTGTAGTATTCCATTGTGTGATAATCAGAGCTTCTCTATCCATTCGTTTGCTGATGGGCACTTGGGTTGTTTCCAACTCATTGCCACTGTGAACAAAGCCATGATAAACATGGGTGTGCATATATCTGCTTGAGTGGTGGTTATGGTTTCTTTGGGGTTGTGCTTTCTTCTCTAGAATACTGCGTATCAGTATCAACTTCCCCCGTGAAGCTCCGTCATAGATAGACTGAAGTGTTCACATCTAAAACTTCATCTGATGATTTAGAACCATTTCTGCTTTCTTCATAGTGCTGTAATTTCCCCTTATGATGTGCTTACCACATGTGTTATTGCTTTGTTTAAACCAAGATCATTTTAGGTGACTATCTATCTCCCCTTCATAAGAACAGGGACTTGATCTAGTCTCATCCACCACTTAGTACCTGTTATATTGTTGTTCCATGCTGTCAAATAAGAACCGACTCATAGCTGACCCTCTAGTGGGTTTTCAGAGGCTGTACATTACATAAGAAGTGAGTGTCCATCTTTCTTCCTTGGAGTTGCTGGTAGATTTGAACTGCCTGCCTTTGGGTTGGCAGTGCAACTCCTTACCACGAGGAGGCCACCAGAACTACCAGGCACCTTTTAGGTGTACAATCCTGGCATATAGTAGGTGCTCAATAACTATATATTGAATGAGTGAAGACAGGAAGAGAGAGAGAGAGATTGACTCCTGAGTTGGAGAGAAGGAAAGATTCCTGAGTTGAAACCAGAAGGTGACTTATAGTTAACCAAACAAAGCTGAGGGCAGAGGGTTGGCCTTAGAGCCCAGCAGAGAAAATAAGATGTTGCAAGTACAGACAGAGAGGGAGTTCTGGTGGCCTAGTGGCAAGAAGCTGTACTGCAATCTCGGAGGAGTCCGGTTCAAATCCACCAGATACTCTGCTGAAAGAGGAGGGGGCAATCTCCTCCTCTACCAGTCAGATCCAATTTGACGGTACACATACAAAATAATAATAATAACAACAACAAGTGCAGACAGAGGTTGACAGGTTTGCAAACCTGAAGGAAGGTGATGG